ATTTTACTTTGATCATTTTTTTAAAGGAATTAATTGACCCAATGCTTTTATAATCATTTTCCAGATTGTACTCACATTAACAATAGAAATAGTATCTATTTTACAAACTGGCAATATCAATACTTCATCCAGCATTTGCGTTTTAGTTGTTTAGATAATTTTTGTTGTTACTCTTTCGTCAACTTTTTTGCATACAGTGTTGCTTCAGCTACAGTACTTGTGTACACAAAAAAGATAGGATATGGTAATGACATTTAGGACAGCCAAACACTGAGGTTAACCTGATTAGAATGCAGCAGCTTAATGGTAAAACAGTACACAGAGTCCAAAACACTGCCTTTCATTTTATTACTCCATTGTCCACGTTTATTTTTATTTTATTTTTTTGTTTTAATGTTTTAGGCTTAGTGAACATGTAAAAGCATTTCAAAGCCCTCATCTGGAAAATGTTCATCTGCATTTCGCATATTAAAAGCATTGAAAAATCAACATATTCATGCTGAGTGTACTGCATCCCAAACTCCTACGTAGGACATTTTAAATTTCACGCTATGAACCCATCTTTAGATAGTGAATAATTTTCATTATCACAGACGACGAGAAATGTAATTTTCTTCACCCATCCCTTTAAAAGAGGGGAAAATGATGATTGAAGCGTAGGTGAAGACGGAGTGTTGTGCCAGTTTTGCTGTAATATTTTGCTGTTCAAACTGTGAAGCACGAGAATGACCAACAAAAATAAATGTCCCTATTCCTAAGTAACTCTCTTGTTTAATATTTGAATAAGATGCATAATTAAACAGATGTTAATTAGAAATTAATATGAACAAACAAGTATAGGTAAAGCAGTAAACAACTGAATTGATTTGAAGTTAGAAAACAACAACAGTAGTATTGTTATTATGCAATATATGAAAAATAGATTCAATTACAATAGTTTTATTCTCAAAATCTACTCAAGTAAGCACACTCAGCACTCTAGTTGCTGTATACTCTGCTGCTTCCAGATATAACTATAATATGAGGTACCACTTGACATAGTTTTTAATGTACACAAACGACAAGCAGCTGCATCCCAAAGGGCATTGTGGTTTAGCCCACCTACACTTTTAATAGGTTCTAGACCTTAGCAATTACTGAGAAGAATTCAGTCAAATGGGGTTTTAAGACCTATTGACCTGATGGACTATCTAGTAATAGCCTTGACCACCCATTATACAATAGCTTCCTCTCAGTACTTTGACAAGCTTTGTTCTGGCCTGTTGTCTGGCATAACAAAATACATAACAGCATTTCAGTGGAAACATAAGTGCTTCTTTCCGGCACAAGAACAGACATCCTTTCATATATTTTTGATTTAGAAGTTTAAGGGGACAGGAGTGAAGTTAAGTGTAATTTGACAATACAGACAAGACATAAAAATATAACCACCTGGTGTTTTTGTGTCAAGTGTGAAGCAATACAGTATGTCTGAATGATAAAGTTCACCAATGCAACAGGACAATGAGCTCATGCCCACCAGTAACTTCATAACAGAATAGCAGAGAGAAAATGAATCCACGTGTTGCAAAGACTCAAAGTCTAGACCTCAATCTGATTGAAATACAGTGACAAACCTTGATGAAGCTGTGCATAAACAAAGGTCTGCAAATCCTCTTAAAGGAAAGCAACATGACAGAACCAAACCCCTCCACTTGTGAGGAACTGATAAGGTCACACAGAAGGCAATTACTTCAAGTTATTGCTGCTAAATGAGATTTCACAAGTTACTGAGTCATACGGTGGACTTAGTTTTACCATTTACCTTTTCTTCATTTTGGCTTTGCTTTCTGTTAAACAGCACAGTGTGTTATGTCTAATAAGTTGTATCTACCCAATTTTAAAACAAGATCAGTATAAAATCTCACAAACCAACAAGACCACTGGGGATATAAACAGAAAAAATGCTTATAAAAACATCATTAAGAGCACAAGCAGAGACAAGGAAAGCATGAATTTTCAATGTGTGTCATCAAAACTAAACTTACAGGGATCATCCAGTTGGCTAGATCTCCATATTTTGACACCTGCATGGCTCCCAGCATTGTCAGATTGATGTGACCCCTTGAGAGAATGACACAAAACAAAACAACAGCTGTCATCTTTGAAATCAGTTAAACTTACGAACTCAAGACCATTCATTATAATTAGGAAAGCAGCAATGATGCATTTATCCCTTTTTGTGCACAAACGAGGAATGACACCAGATTTTGTGCAATGCTACACAGGCTGACACACAAAATCATTAAAACAATAGTGTTGCCAATCTACTATTTTGTTGTTCAGTTTAGCAACTTTCAAATCCTTTTAGCACTTTTTCCTCTACAAAAATTCACTTAGTAAAAATAATCCAGCAACCAAACAAACAGGCCAAACCACACATCATGTGGAAGAGAGGCTGTTGCACCACTCTCTCTCTCTATTCAGCAGGCACGTGGAAAGAAAAACTGGCACAATTTTTTTTATAAAAATGACTAAATATGCAAAAGAAAAAATAACATGTTGACAGCTTATTAAGAAATTAGTAAGCATTAGCTGTTAAAAACAGTGTTACACATGAAAGCATACTTTACAAGTGATGTTTTGCCTTTTTGATTAAATATATTTGTTTTTTGGTTTATTTTTCGCAAATTGTAAATTACCAAAACCTTTTTAGTGATACAATGAACACAGAATGTTGGCATAGCACTAATTGAATGTAACTGAGGGATGACCCTAAATGTTTTGAGACATACATCATGCCTTATATTATCTGGGTATAAACACTAGCAACTAAATACTGTATATGTAATTTTAAAATGTTGAAGGATGGTTTAAGATGCTAGTGTTATTTTGCAGGTAGAAACCTATCCTATTTAGATAAATTCTTTCTCAGCATCTCAGGCCTCTTAATTGTGTTCTCACAACAGCAGACAAACCTGTCTACAAATTCAGTGTGATTCCATTTAGTCTCAGCCGGTGCAACTGGACAGCTTATTTTATGACCACTATTGAATTTCTACTGGGTGGACAAACAAAACTAATGCTGCAGGGAGCACGGGTGGGCAATATCTGTCAGCAAGCAGATCAATAAAAAACAAGAGACCTGGCGTATATTGACAAGGCCGCTGTCTGGTTGTACTGGTGACAGCAGCCATTTGTTAATATCCAGTGTTACACATCCTTCCTATATTTTGTGGTTAAATCCTGATTATGGGTTGGAGGAGAAAAGGGGAAATTTAGGGGCAAACGTGCTCTCTTTTTTGTTTTCTGCATTTACTATAGTCCATGAAAGTGTCTCTCTCAGCATCACAGAAGTTATTTAGAGGATTTACTTTGTGTAAATCTTTTTAAATCCGAGACATATCTAACATGAAGACTGCAAAAAAAGGTTTTCGAGCTTATTTGGTGCAGTTTTACCCTCGGATCATGGCAAATGAGTCATCACTGGAGAAATAGGCAGCTCCAGGGAGTACTGTTACCGTCTCCTTCCCTGTGGAACGGACATAAAAGTACTGATATTAATTTATGAGAACAGTCTAGTTAATACCACACAACAAATTTAAAAGAAATTACATTGCATAAATAACACAACAACCTAGATGACGGGACCTAAAAGCAAATGCATAAACATTAAAATCAACCGATATTTGGCGTGACACTAAATAAGTTTGACTATAACTTTATTCTTATTATGCCAAAGATATTTAAACTGTAATAATATTTTATATGGAAACTCTGCCTACCCATAATATATTTTGCCCAGTGCTTAAAAATTTAAATATTTTCTTTCGAAATTTGTCAGGATAATTCTCACCAGCATTAATAAGATCTGCATCCACTTCTGCCTCTGTGGGGTACGGCCCCTACCCAAATAAAAAAAATAATAATAAAAATCAGACATGAGTGTGCACAGAGGCATTCAGCCATACATCCACTCACACATGTCAGTCATCCTGACTGGCCGTGATCTTTCAAGGGAGACACAATCACATTTCTCTGATTAGATGAGACATTGATTTTTCTCCGTGTTCAACAAAGAGAACAAGCCTTAGACAAAGAGGAGAGGAGAAGGAAGGTGAGATCAGCACCTCTCAGGAACTAGGACCTTGTAATTAAAGGAAGCTTAGACGAATAATAAAAAAAATGCATTTGCATAGACGCCTACATCCTTCTGTCAACAAAACTGATTGGAAAATCATCCCACAGCAGCTTCAGCTGCTTTTGTTAAAAAGGCTCAAGCAGCAAATAATGATTACAAGTAAGAAAAATGGAGGAAAAAGTGTCAAACTGACAATCTATTATATTGTAAACCTAGCATATATCAAACAACTACAATGATCCTGTTCAAACAAATAGCTATTCTGTGTCTTATGCTCAAAGGGTATTTTGGTTTAAAATTATTCACTGCTGTCAAAATGATTATCTCTGTCAAACTAAAAGCAGTGGAGAAAACTGTAGGTGTCTTACCAGTCCCAAAAGTCCATTTTCACTTTGGAGATGTACAGTTATGTCTGGCTTTATGAAGTTGCTGGCCAGCATGGGGATACCAATACCGAGGTTAGCTAATAGATTTGATGTTAAAAAATATAATTACTTGTGTCCTTGTCATGGGATAAAAGTCAAGCATTGTGTTAAAGAGACAAGCACAAGGTCGAATACTACATTTATAGCCCCGTCTTTAACCCTTTAAAACATGTACATGATCATATGGTGTAAAAAGACAGAAACATTAAATTTGCAGTTGATGCTCAAACTCCCAAACTTGATGGTTTAAATGTTTTCAAAATAAAAAAATATTTCAAGAAGAGTGAATTTGTCTGAGAGGTGGTTAATCAAAGACCAATCACTTAAACTGTGCTTTCATGAGAGACAAATGCTTTGACTACATCATGTAAAACATTTAAAAAGAATCTAAGAATATTTTTTTCCCTGCAATCAACTGGTGCAAAGACTATAATTATTTAAATAAGACTGGTCATGATCCAATGTTCTTTTTTTGGTGGCACTTGGCCTTAGCTTGGTCGGCTTTTATTTGCTGTGATTAAAAGGGATCCAGATGAAAATCAGATTTATATGACTTTGCCATTTACTCATTGAATGTGCTCTAGTAAAAGGATACCATACATCCCATCTTCAAACTCTAACGCAGCCCTGCGAATGATCCTTTCCCGAACAATGTCTGAATCCTTCTTTGGTTTGGGCTTCTCTTCTTGTCCTTTTCTTATTGTGCGTTTCTGGAAGGATACAGAGATTGGTGAGAAGCAAAGAGATAGCATCTCGGTCTATTTCTAACCAAGCACAAGGACATGCAGATAAAACAGAATGTGTGTTTCTGTACAATGAAACCCTGTCAACTGCTTTTAGAAGGCTGGATTTATGTAACAAGGACCCTTAAAGCAACATAATGCAGAAAATATAAAAAGATGTACAACCTTTTCACTTATGTGAGTTCTGGCAGATCTTGAAAATTTATTTGCACATGAGTACTGTTGCGGTACTATTTAGGTTTAATAAATTAAATGATCTGATTGGTTTTAAAGTTGTTTTACATGCTAGAGTCAAGAGGAGAATTCAACATTTGATTTGAGAAATAAATATTTGTACTCAGAAGTCTCCTGGATAAGTTTTGTTTTGTACCTCAATCCTTTTTTCGTAGCTGGCTCCTTGAACAATCCTGTGGACATAGATACTGGGTATGTGGATGTCCTCTGCAGCAAATGTCCCAACGTCCACCACCTCCTCCACCTAAGGCGATACAAAAAGATAAGAACCATTCTTATTTATCTATTCTTTTTTTAATGTCCAATTATCTGTGAGCTTGAAAATACATTGCCACGCT